ACCCTGGGCTGCGTCACGTTCGCCTAATCCGGCGCCCCGGGCCGCGCCTCGAGCCGCCTGCGCAGCGCCGCGCGCCAACCCGCGTCGCTGCCCCCCGCCCGCACCGCGGGCACCAGCAGGAGCGCCGCTGCGCGAGGCGGCAGCACGCTGGCCCATCCTGGGCAGGGCTGTGCCGCCAGCATCCGCCAGCGGGGGGCGGCGCTGCCGTAGCAGACCCCGCAGAGGGCGCGGGCGGCCTCGGCAGCACCGCGCTGAGGCAAACCCTGGCGGACAGCCCACGGTCGCCGAGCGCGCCTCTGCAGCTGCGGTTGTGATGGGCAGGCCGCCGGCGCCTGCTGCTGCTGCTGCTGCTGCCGCTGCCGCTGCCGCTGCCGCTGCCGCTGCCGCTGCCGCTGCTGCTGCTGCTGCTGCTGCTGCTGCTGCTGCTGCTGCTGCTGCTGTAGTTGCGCCCGCTGCCTGTTGGGCCACGCAACCCGCGCCAACGGTGGGCCGCGCGCCCAGCGCCTGCGAACCCTGGGCCCAGCCGGCCCGGAGCCCTCGTGGTTGGCACGCGGCGCGGCCAACTCCACGGCGGCCAACGGCCGCTGGAGGGAGCGCAGCGCGTGCAGCTGCACCTGCCGCCCGACGCAGAGCGCGCGTTCGGGCAAACAGGCGCGCGACGGCGCCCGCCAGCTGGTCGGCGGTCTCGTTGCCAGCGTGGTTTTCGCGAGCGATCCCGCGGCCCGCCGCCGCGGCGGCGTCGAGATGCCACTTGACCCAGCGCGCCCCGATGAAGCCGCTCTCGCAGAGCGGCTGCATCTGCTCCCACAGATCCGCGTGTGACCACTCGGTGGGAGAAGCGGCGGCGCGCAATGCCGCAACCCCGCGGACCACGTAGCGTGAATCAGAAACCAGCCCTACTGAAGGGGCCCTGGAACACACAAATAAATTCACACAAATCAATATATAAACAAATCACACGATTCTCCATCTTTTCCCATAGTTTATGTGCTTCTGTCTTCCCCCCTCTGCCAATATTTTCCTACATGTTCTAGGGAATCGACGATTAATTGTATCTGTGCGTTTCTTTCCCTCCTGGTCTAAAAGGTGCCCCGACCGCGCTGACAGCATGCACCGCTGCAGTGAGCTGTGCCCGTTGTGCGGTCTGGGACCCGCCCACCGGCCCGCTGCGGCGCCGCAGCACGCCGTCAGGCCTCCTCCAGCAGAGACCCCACCCCGCCCGAGCAAGGAGAGGGTCGGTGGGGTGCTCGCAGGCTCCGTCGCTCCAGGCCCGCAGCCGAGCTTGCCCAGGGCCCACCGCGGGGGGGCGGCAGCGGGGGCGGCGGCAGCCCCTGCTTGGCCTGCGCAGCCAGCGCGGCCATGCGCGGGTTTGGTGGCAGTACCCCAGTCAGCGGAACGCCAGCGGGGAGGCGCGCAAACAAGGCTGCTTGACTCAGACCTGCGCTCTGCAGGTCGGCGCGGCGAGCCGACGCCCACTTGGGGCACTCCCAGGAGCGGTGTTCCGTGGTTTCCGCCGCGGCGCCGCAGTGCGGGCAGCCAGCGGGCCAGCCCCACTTCGCGGCCACCGTCTCCGCGACGACGTTTCCTGTGAGCACCGCACGCAGGGCGCCTGCCGCGTCCAGCGCCAACTCCGCGCTTTTGAGCAACCGGCGGGTGGCCCAACGGTCGATGTCGTCTCCAAGACCAAGGTCCATCATGCTGCGCCTGGCGGCAGCGAAGGGCCCCTGCTGCCGCCCGCGCCCGGCGTCCACTGCGCCCGCCCCCGCGCGCCAGAGCTCGTGCGGCATGCGGGAAGCGCCGGCGACGCAAAGCCTTGGCAGCCTGCCACAGCGGGGCCAAGGTGGCAACTGCGGCAGGGACGAGCCGCCAGCTCGGGCTGAGCACGCCGAAGACTGCCTCGGCGGCGGCGCGCAGCCCATTGCAGACGGCCTGGCAGGCGGCCGCTCACAGGCCAGCCAAGTCACGCGCCGGGGGGCGGCCGCAAGAGGCGCCGTAAACTTTCGGACGTGCACGCCGCCGCGCCGAGGAGGCATCTCTGCCGGAAGCCCACTGGCAGCCGAGCGATGCGGGTAAAGCTCCTCCTCCTCCTCTTCTTCTTCTTCTTCTTCTTCTTCCTCTTCTTCCTCTTCTTCCCCTTCTTCCTCCTCCTCCTCCCCACACTTCCCCCTCCACTCATTCCGCTCCTCCCCATCCACCCTTCCTCCATCATCCCTTCTTCCCTCCCTCCTCCCTCTCTCCCCCCTCCTCCCTCCACCATCCCTCCCCCTTTCTGCTCCTCTCTCCTGCCCCCTCCCCCCCTCCGAGACCAGGCCTCGGAGGCCCGGGGAAGCGACAGGTGGAGGAACCGGCTCAGCGTGAGGTCCGCCTCTGCGGGGGGTGCACACTGACACGGAAACACAAACATGCACAAACACACACACACAAACTCTAGGTCGGCGGCACAGAGGTACCTCAGGCGCGGTCGGCAGGTGGAGGTGCCAATTACAAACGATATCCTATGTATACTGTTATTTCTCTCTTTCTCTCTCTCTCTCTCTGTTTGTTTTTCTCTCTCTCTCTTTCTCTCTCTCTCTCTCTCTCGTTCTCTCATTTCTCTCGCCCTCTCTCTCTCTCTCTCTCTTTATGTGTTTCTTAACGTTTTTGCTTCTCACTCTGTTTCTCTCACACGCACGCGCGCGCGCATGCACGCACACACACACACACATTCACACACACATATATCAACGCAGGCACACACACACACACTTCTTGACGTCGCGGCCCTGCGCGCAGCGACAGGGCGTATGTCAAAAAGCAGCAACCGCGCGCGCGTCTAAACCCGCCCGAGCTCTCAGAGACCACTTAGAGTTGAGCAGGCGGCAGCCATAACCATCTGGGACACAGGCACACAAACACACGCACACCGAGAGTAACAGACAGTCATCTCACCAGTGAAAAACCATATCAGTGGATGATGGTTTGACAATTCATGCTAGGGTTGTTTAGATCGATTGTGAGATCGATAGTGGGAATGATGGTGAGGACGATAGTAAGGTCGATCGTGAGACCCAGAGTGAAGCTGGTTCAGCGAGATCGATAGTGGCATCGCCCGCGCGATCTATACAGAGATCGACAGTGAGATCGATTGTGAGATCGATCATGAGATCGATAGAGAGCTGGGACATGAGATCGATGGTGAGACCGATCGATGAGGATATCGACCAGGAACCCACGACCCCGGAAAAAAAAGGGAACCCCTCCGCACAGCGAAATCGGCCCAGAACCAGCAACCAGGAACGGGGAGCCTGGAACTGGGAACCTATAAGGACCCTGGCCACCTACCCCAATCGACTGGGCACGTTTGCCAAATCTTTCAACCCTCGTTAGGACCCTTCCAGTGCAGGCGCTGATACAGATTTGGGGAACAACGAAGTGAAATTCGGAGGTCTGCACGGACCTCCTAGATCCGCACCGCCAGGGAGGGGTGTCCAACGCCGATTCAATGATGGACCCACTTTCACCCACCACTAACATAGGTAGGAGGTGGAGGTGGAGGTGGAGGAGGAGGAGGAGGAGGAGGAGGAGGAGGAGTGCAGACCTCATGATTTTCCCTTCTCCCTCGTCCGATCTATGGTTGATGCGGTGGGAAATTGGCCCATCATTGAAGAACATCCTCGCGGCCCTCCAACGCTTCTGTTTCTGCCTCCCTATCTGCTCCAGATGCCAGCTCTAAGAAATTCTACTCCGTGGACCTCTCCCAAGGCGCGCTTGGTGCGCCCTCCGGCCAGGCCTCCGACGGCGCACTTCCGCCGCGGCAATGCGAGACCCCAGGGAAGGCCCCCACAGATGTGAAAAACGACAGCAAGTGAGCGGCGGCACACGTCCCACGGCGGGGTCCCCGGATCGGGGGCGTCCAAGATGGGGGCGTCCACTAGGAGGGCGCAAGTCGTGGCCAGCGGCACGTGCGCGGCCCAGGGGGGGGCAGGGGACGTGATGCAATCAGAAGAGGCGCCGTGAAATCTGGGGAGGTATCGTGGCCCCCGCCATGAGATCAACCCCCGTAGTCATCACCCCCCTCTTTCGGGTGTTGCTAGAAGTGCCCCTGGCCCAAGGTGCCCCCAGCTTTTCGCTCCATTTTGCAGCCCCTGGGGCCCTCTGGCCCTCGTGAGGGGTGCCCTGGAAGCGCCTCCAAGGCATCCCCCACGACGGCCCCGGACTGGCCAGAGATGGCCAACGTCTCAAGTAGGGAACCGAACTCTGTACACCAACGCATTTTCTGGCCCTGCGCTGAAATTCTCACAAGAAAGCGAATCCTGGTGTATATGGGGTCCTGGTGTAAATATGTTTCGTTGTTCCTGCGGGACACGGAAACAACAAACACCACACCACCCCGACGTCGTCCCCGACCCTCGAAAAGTCCTTAGATGGAAAAGCAGCCCGCCACTGGTAATGTATATGTTCCAGTTTCTGATCAAGAGGACCCCAGCCAGCAGGCGCCATGCGCCCTGCAACCGCCCACCAATAGACAAGCGCGCTCCCCTACTCGCACAGTAGCTACTCGCACATGGCCCGGATCCGCCTTGACGAGCGGTGGACAAACCTCCCTTTAGTAAACCACCCTTTCATGAAAACGGCCTAAGACCGAAACCGACGGACCTGGACCCGCAAAAATAACGGCCGTGACGCCCTCTAGCGATCCGAAAACGGCCAATTCGCTAATCGACGTGTCAGGGTAGGAGGCCTATCAAACTCCGACACGAGGGATGCACGATGCGTTATATCGATGCAGACATGTGATATTTCCCGGACGTTTGCGAGCAGGCACTTTGCGAGTCGTGGAACGCGCTCGGTGACCAAAGCAGCTTCCGCCACTCAGGGCGCCGACCTCGTGCCGCCAAGCGGTGGCCGCGCTGCTTGGCCGGCCGCCACCCGCAGCGTAGGAAACTGCGCAGGACGGCTCGTCGTGGCCAGCGACCGTGAGGCAGCACAAGAGGGCCACAGGGGGATCTCCTGTGAGACAAGGACATATACTGTTCTGACGAGTTTGAAATGACTTTGGCGTCTTCGCCACCATTTCGGGCTTCCATCGGCTGCAGGCGGCCCCAGAGGCCGCCCAGGTAGCCCAAGACGGCCCAAGAGGGCTCCCAAATGGCCCAAATATCCTCCAATACAGCCTCACGACAACCCGAGAGGGCCCCTGGACAACACAGGACGGCCCCAGAAAGGTAGAAAGACAACCGCAAAAGACCCCGTGGACGGCCAAGAGAGGGCCCCAAGACGGCCCAAGAGAGCCGCAGGGCTGCCCAAGGGAGCTCTGAGATGGCCCAGAGAGGCCCAAGTAACCCCCAAGACTGCCCCACAGGAGCCCAAGAAAGGACAAAAGAAAGAAAGGAAGATAACACGGCGCGGAAGGGGAGGGAGGGGGATGAGGAGGAGGAGGAGGAGGAGGAGGAGGAGGAGGAGGAGGAGGAGGAGGAGGAGCGTGTCACCTGTTGCGGCTCGCTCAAGGCTCGGGACACGAGGGGTGTTCTCTGTTACGGCATCCTGCGCGCACTTCCAGCCGTCGCCAATAACGGTTCTAAGCTGGCACGCTGCTGGGACGTGCCGCGGGCAGCTGGACAAATTGTCCTGCCTTGTTGCTTACAAGTGAGCGTTTTCTTCTTCGGCGTCCCGGCATCCGGCGGAAGGGGGGTGTCTGGCTCCGGACCTCTGCTTCATGCGACGGCGTGGAACAGTGCGTCCTAGGGGGGAGGCTCACCCTTCTTGAGACAGGCGCCCAAAACAACCAATAGCTACTCCAGGGGGGTGCGAGGGCCCACGCCGATCGGAAACACAATGAATAATAAAACGATGCCCAATACGTTGGCTGCCTGGGTCATTCCCTCCTCTGAGCCTTGCTCGTGAAGAAGTGGCTCGTGACGCTCGCATTGCGCGCGACGCGCTGGAAGTCGTGGCCGACCGCGAGCGCCTTCTGGGACCACAGGAAGTCCTCGCGGCTCACGGCGTACACGCCCCGGCGGTCCATCGCCTGACATCTCACCCTCCCTCCTTCCACCTCCTCCTCATCCTCATTCCTCCTGTTCCTCCCTCCTCCTCCACCACCTCCTCCTCCGCCTCCGCCCCCTCCTCTTCCTCCTTCTCCTCCTTCTCCTCCTCCTCCTCCTCCTCCGCCTCCTCCTCCTCCTCCTCCTCACTCTTCCCTCATCCGACTTCCTCTTCCTCCCCTTCCTCCTCCTCCATCCTCCTCCTCTTCCTCCTCCTCCCTCTCCCTCCTCCTCCTCCCCTCCTCCTCCTCCTCCTCCTCCTCCTCCACCTCCTCCTCCTCCTCCTCCGCCTACTCCTCCTTCTCCTCCTCCTCCTGCTCCTCCTCCTCCTCCTCCCTCCTCCCTCCACCTCCTCTCCTACTTGAGCCTCTGGAGGCCCCCAGATGCCTCCACGGACCTCAAGAAAGACTTCTGGCGACCTTCGAGGAATTTCACAGACTCCGGGGGAACCCTGGGTGGAGGATGGATCGAGGATCGAAGGCAGAGCTTCTCAGATGTGTTGTGGCCCGTCTCCAGGGCCCTTGACGTTCTTGTCGCCACGGCTGGATCCGCCTCAAAACCTGCGTCTGAACGCGATCCAAGCTGGGGCATAGGGCTAAACAACAAAGCAATCCGAGATCCTTAGACGTCCTTCGTCACAGAGCCACGGAGAGAAAAAGAGAAAGAGAGAGAGAGGGATAGAGAAAGAGAGAGATACAAAACAAATAATGACACATTATTCAGAAATCTGGACTGCGTAAACAACAAAGAGACTCGCGGCGCCCCTGCAGAGGGCGTCTGTCAACTCACCCAGGAAGATGGACAGAGGAATGCGCGAGCTAATGTTAAGTCGTGCCTGTCCCCCTACAGGGGGATTTTCGACGAAAAACAAAACATACACCAAAAACGCGGAAACAGATAATAAAAAATAATATGGGGACTATTGTTCTATAATTTTTTACCTTTTTGAAATATATTGGGGGTATGTTTGTTTTTGTCGTCGAAAGTATCCCTGTAGGGGGACACGCCCGACATAAAGCTAATGTTCACTGCGCGTCAAGACAACTCGCTGAGAATCGCTGCGGGATGGGCTGGTGGCGAACGAGCAAGCGGGCTGCGTTCTGCCCCGGGGTGCGGCGCCTGCGAGCCAACAGCCCGGCGCAGCCGGGCCATCTGTAGAGCTGAAGGGAACGCTGGGCAACATCGGCACGCCAAAAGTGTACGGAGCGGGAGGGGAAGCAGGGGGGGGCCTTCGTGGGCCCCGGAAACGGCAGGGCCGATTTTCCACCGATTCCCCAAAAAATGTCCCTTGAAAATGGAAACGGCAAAAGAACGGCGACCGGAAACGGCAACAACAACGGCTCCAGGCTTGGAACCGGAGCCGGAAACGGTAAAAAACGGAGACGGAACCGGCAAAAAAACGGCGTCGGAACCGGCAAGAAAAAACGGCAAAACGAAACTGGTGAACAAAAACGGGCCCTGTCGTTTCCAGGGCCCGCTAAGAGGGGGGCAGAAGGAGGAAGAGGAAGAAAAGCGAAGCGGGAAGAATCTGTCACCAGCTGTCGGGTCATAGTTCGGCTCCTCTCCGGCGGCCGATCGAGACGAGCCGGACACCTCAGGAACACTCTCGCGGAGGCGCAGCTTCTGGAGAGCACTCCGAGGCAAGAAGACCTCCAGGAGACCAACGGAAAAATCCGACCCCCAACACACACACACACAAGAAAACGTCTTCGATCGCCCTCGAAGATCGATCCTCCTCCTCATCATCCTCCTGGCCTCGAACGCGGCCAGGAGCGACGGCACGCTCCTTGGCCCTCCTCGATCCTCGATCCTCTGCGGTCCTCGATCACATCCGACAATGTGATTTGTTCAATGCGCGGCGAGGTCCTGCTCCACGGGAGTAGCTTTTTGTCTTGGATCCCATGACTGATGGCCCTTTGGGCCCGAAAATGAGCCCCTGGGGCCGCACTGGAGGAAAGTCGCCCGGACTGAAAAGATCACATCGTCGGAGATCTGGGCTCGATCATCGATCCTCCCTAGCCCGCCTCCGGCGGCCCAGCGGCGTCGTCGTCGTCGTCCTCCTCCTCCTCCTCGTGCTCCTCGCCGTCGTCGTCGTCGTCGTCGTCGTCGTCGTCGTCGTCGACTCCAGGGGGGGAGACCCCTCAGCGAGCCGTCGGAGGCCCTGCGGGGGGAGGGGAGGAGGGGAAGGGGGGGGGGGGGGGAGGACGGGAGGGAGGAGTCTCTCCACCTCCTCCTCCTCCTCCTCCTCCTCCTCCTCCTCCTTCTTCGTCTTCGACCGCATTCCGCCAGCGTTCTCCTTTCCGCCGCGGGCCCCTCGAGCAGACACGGAAGGCTCCTCCTCCTCATCCTACTCTTCCTCCTCCTGAGGTTCTCCTCCTCCACCTCCTCCTCCTCCTCCTCCTCCCTCCTCCTCCTCCTCCTCCTCCTCCTCCTCCTCCCCCTCCTTCATCAACTCGTCCTCCTCCTCCTCCTCCTCCTCCTCCTCCTCCTCCTCCTCCTCGTCCTCCTCCTCCTGGCCTCGAACGTGGCCAGCAGCGACTGCACGCTCTTCTCGTCGCAGCCCGCCGTGGGCCGGGGCCTGCCAGAGCTCCCCGGGCTGCACGCCCGTGGCGCCGCGGCTTGCGGTCTCGACAGACCGGGCGGGGAGAGGGAGGCGGGAGGGTGAAAGTAAAGTAAGACGAAGCCAAGACGAGGATAAAATCGGGGAGGATGCTCAAAATCCCGTGTTAATCGCCCCTCCCCCCCCCTCCCCTAAAAAACTGGACCCCCCTCCAAATGCGGCCCAATACTCTGGACCCCCCGCTTCGACGGGGCGCCTTCATAAACCGGACCCCCTGGGCTCCAGTCCAAAGAAAACGCCCTAATAAACCAGACCTCCCCAGTTACAAAAAAGGCGCCTTAAAAAACATGACCCAGGTGACGACTAACAAGGGATTTGGAGTACATCGAGAATCTCTGAGCTCTGGCGGTTCTGGAGGATGTCTCGGGCGCCGCGGCCATCTCAGAGCGTTCCAAAACGCTCTGGGCGCGTGCCGGGAAGCTCTTGAGAGCGGCTCTGTCCTCGTCCTAGCGCCCCGCCCTATGAAGGAAAGGGGAGGAGAGATCACGAGCCGCGAACATGTCCACATCCACGACCTCGCGGTCTGGATTCTAGTGCGCGGTCCCGTGATACGCGGCCACACGGGTACAGTGCGGGCGTGGCCGCGAGAAAACCCCGCCAGAAGCCAGGGAGCCTGAGAGCCCGTGCGCGAGGTGCACCCGAGGGGAAGCCTGAGCACCCTGAACGCGGCAGCTCCTTTTCAACGGCTGCGGGAAGTCCTCGCGCAGCGCGAGGAGCGAGGAAGCCCAGGAGACCCGGACGCAAAAAAGCACACGGCTCCTTGCGGCGCGCCCCCGCGGTATACGCTCCGCGCGGGGGGCGCGGCGCAAAAGCGCCCCGCGTCCGCGGGCTCGCGCCTCCCAGGGGCCCAACCCCGCCAGGCCGTGCGCCCGGAGGCGCTGTCCACCCGCGAAGGCTTCTGGGGGGAGGGGGGCCCTGGGAACGACAGATGCTTCCCGCTTCGCTTTACTCTTCCTCTTCCTCCTCCTCCTCCTCCTCCTCCTCCTCCTCCTCCTCCTCCTCCTCCTCCCCCTCCCATCGCCCCCCCGCTTCTCCCCCCCCATCGCCCCCCCTGGAAACGACAGGGCCGTTTTTTCTTACGCCGTTCTTGGTTGCCGGTTCCGACGCCGCTGTTTCATCGGTGCCGTCGCCGTTGTTTGACCGGTTCCGGCTCCGGTTCCAAGCTTGGAGCCGTTTCTGTTGCCGTTTCCGGTCGCCGTGGGCCCATGCAGGTTTAGGCTGGTTTCCGTCCACGGATGTACTAGCGCCGAGTTCTAACCTCCCAGGAGAAAGGCGGGGGGAGGAGGGAGGGAGAGAGAGGGGAAGGCCATGAGGGAGAAGGGCGAGGAGAGGGAGCGAGGAAGAGAATGACGGGGGTCCAGAGTACCGAGAAATGCGCCAACGATGCTGCAATACACCCTCCGTCTCAAGTCCCCTTCCTCAGCCCCGCCTCCCCTACCCTCGCGTTGCGACAGGGTGGCTTTATTCGGAAAAGCAGAGGAGGGAAAAGCATCGGGTGGCGGGAAGAGAGAGGAGAGAGAGAGAGAGAGAGAGAGACAGACAGAGAGAGAGAGAGATAGAGAGAAGGAGACGGAGAGGGAGAGAGGCAGAGAGAGAGAGAGAGGGCAAGCTAGGTGCGTTCGCGCTCATCTGACACCCGATCCCTCCCTCCCGTCCCTCCCGATGGCGCTGATTCTCTCTATATCCGCGGACACGTGTCATTGCCGACCTGCGACTCCCACAGAAAAGCCACGTCGTGGGATGCGCCACTGGAACACCGGGAGCTGCGTGCACAGGAGGAAGAGGAGGTGGCGGGTGAGCAGGAGAAAGAGCGGGAGGAAAAAGGACGAGGAGGGTCGGGAGGAAAACGAGGACCAGGGGAAGGCGGAGAGGGAATGAGGGGGGGGGGCAGGTCGTCGCGAGGCGTGACGCTCGGGGACACTCGGGAGACCTGGGGATCTGGCGGCCGCGGTAGAAAAGAGCGGCGCGAGGCGGGACACTCGGGAACACTTGGGAGACCTGGGGATCTGGTGGCCGCGACATGCAGGGTGGACGGGTCGGGAGGCCTGTTCATCACACCTAACGACCCCAGCCTGTCGGGTGGAGAACAAGGAGGGGCGACGCGGATGAACTATAGGAGGAGGAGCAGTAACACGGGGCCAAGATCGGAAGAGGGCGAGTCGAAACAACGGAACATCGTCGGCCCCCAAACCCCTCCCATGTCTAAACGCACACCCAGCTGTGTCCAGCCGTGGCGACGAGGGCCACCCGATGGCCAACTACCGTCGTCTTAACGGGCCCTCTTCTGACATGGAGACTCCATCTTAATAGAACCAATGACGGTCATCACCCCAGGGGGCGGGGCAGGTAACGGTAAAGCTTGGGCGGGCGGGGGCACGTCAAGGCGGGGGTGCGCAGCGATCGCCATAACATGCGCTGTGGGGGGGGGTCCGGACCCCCACCCCTACGCACGATCGTTGCCGTTATCCTGCGGGGGCTGGCCCAGGTAACGATCGCTGCGCGCTAAAAGATACAGCAACACAACCTCGCTGGAGCAAGCAAAGGGAAGGAGGAGGAGGAGGAGCAGCAGGAGGAGGAGGAGGAGGGGGAGGAACAGGAGGAGGAGGAGGAGGAGGAGGAGGAGGAGGAGAGGAGGAGGAGGAGGAGGAGGAGAGGAGGAGGAGGAGGAGGAGCAGGAGCAGGAGGGAGGAGGGAGGAGGAGGAGGAGGAGGAGGAGGAGGAGGAGGAGGGGGGAGGAGGAGGAGGGGGAGAAGGGGGAGGGGGAGGAGAAGGAGGAGGAGAAGGAGGAGGAGGAGGAGGCCGACCCCTGAAGTTCGCGCACGTCGCCACCACGAAGGGCCCGCCGCCCCCGGGCGGCCCCGCCCGGCCCGCGCCCGGCGGCGAGGCCGGCGGGGGGGGCTGCAGCTTCGCCGCGGGCAGGTCCTCGCCGCCAGCCGCCACGACCACCGCCGCCGCCGCAGCACCCCGGACGCCCCGCATCCGGGCTCGACCGAAACGGTGTCTGTTGTCTTCCGTGTCGTCTCCGCTCCGCCGTCTTGCTGCAGAGCGGTGCCGAAGCGAAAAGGGGCCCACGACATCGCCGAAACACCTTTGCGGGTCGAGCCGGGATCGAATGATCTTCGCGCTTTCGCGCTGCGCGAAGCGCGATGCGCGCGATCAGCTTCGGTCTTTCGCGCCGCACCCCCCCCGAACAGGATG